CTAAATCAATAAAAGCTGGTTATTTCAATATCGGAGTGGAGGTGTATATCCCCACTCCACTCCGATGTTATACATGTCAGAAGTTTGGACATGGCTCCAAATCCTGCCGAAATATTCATCGTTGTCATCGTTGCAGTGAGGATCATGAAGATGCTGACTGCAGCAAAGATCCTAAATGTGTAAACTGCGGCAGTGATCATGTTTCATCTTCAAAAGCCTGCCCTGAATGGCAGGTTCAATCAAAAATTCTGAAGTTGAAATATGAAAACAATATTTCCTTTTGAGGCCAAAAACAAGTACATCAAATGCAGTCGAAGCCATCTTCGACAGTTAGTTATTCAGCTGCTGTCTCCAGAAAAACCACATCAGTGTCGGTTTCATGCCAAACCGATTTGACTTGGACTAAATCCAAAACATCCTATCTCTGTGCAAACTACTTGTAATAGCCAGACCACTGTGACATCAGCCTCTCAGACTGTCAGCCAACCAGAGCAAACGATTGCTCAGACAACTGTTAATGTTGAGGAAAATGTTGCTGTGTCGAAAACTCATCGGAACCGCTTCAATCGGATGCAAACATCAAAAACTCCCTCTACTGTAGAGACGCCTGTAACAATAGAGGTTCACAACTCCTTTGAACCCCTGGATATGGAGGTATCTCCACCTTCAAAACACAAACATAGAAGTTCTTCCTCACGTTCTCGTGAGAGGTCACCAATAGAACCACCATGAGACAGAATCCTAATCTAATCCAGTGGAATTGCAGAAGCCTAAATACCAATTTTAATGATCTACAATTATTATCACAAGATTTTAAACCATCAGCCTTTAGTTTACAGGAGACATACCTGAAAAGTACCGATAAATTTGATTTTCGTCAGTACAATTCCTTTCATTCGTTTTCACCCCCAGGTGAGAAAGCCACTGGTGGCACTTCAATTTTGGTGAGGCAGGGCGTGATTCATAGCCCTGTCCCTCTTAAAAGCAATCTTCAGGCTGTTGCTGTCCGCCTTTCTTTACAAATAACATTCACGCTTTGCTCACTATACATTTCTCCATCTTCGGCTCTTCAGCAGTCCGATCTTCAGGATCTCTTCGATCAGCTTCCCAAACCCTGTATTATCATGGGTGATCTTAACGGACACAACCCTTTGTGAGGAAGTACCGATACTAACAATAAAGGAAAATCCTCGAAGACTTCATTTCTAATAATAATTTATGCATATTTAACGATGGATCAGCCACTTATTTGCATCCTGGATTTGGAACTTATTCTGCACTTGATCTGTCTCTTACAGATCCCAATATTTATAACGAATTTGAATGGTCAGTCCACGATGACCTGTGTGGCAGTGACCATTTCCCAACATTACTTTCAGCTATAAACCCGAATGTTGATCCACCTGCCACAAGGTGGAATTTTAGTAAGGCCAACTGGCCATTATTTCAAACACTGTGTACTGACAACTTGAAATCTGAATTCTTTTACAATACTCTAGATCCAATTCAGTTATTCTCTGATACACTGAAGACTATTGCTGATGAAACTATACCTAAGTCCTCTGCAATTCCACATATTCGTAAACCATGGTTTAATAATGACTGTAAACAGGCCAGAAAGAATAGGAAGAAGGCAGAAAAGTATTTTCGCCGACATCCTGCAGTCCATAATTTAGATAAAGTTAAAATTTTAAATGCCAAGGCTCGACGCGCATTTAAACAAAATAAGCGTCAGTCTTGGCGAAACTATGTTTCCAAAATTAATTCTCGCACACCAATGTCAAAGGTGTGGAACATGATTCAACGAATAAAAGGCAAAGGCTCAAAATCTACTGTCCACCATTTGAAGGATGGTGACAATTTATTGACAGATAAGGCTGATATTGCCAATCAGCTTGGTGAAACTCTCGCCAAACATTCTTCTTCGTCCAATTACGTCCCTGAATTTCAAACCTACCAGAAACAACAGGAGAAGAAGCGACTTAATTTTACGTCGGATAATGGCGAAGACTATAATGAATTATTTTCATTAAATGAGCTCCACACTGCCCTTGAGCAAGCTCATGATACAGCAACAGGGGCTGATGATATCCATTATCAGCTCTTGAAGCATTTACCAGAATCATGTCTGGAAACGCTGCTACATGTTTTTGATGCAATATGGACTTCAGGGAATTTCCCGACTTCCTGGCGTAATGCCATTGTAGTCCCCATTCCAAAACCTGGCAAGGATCATACTGATCCGTCTAATTACAGACCAATCTCTTTAACGAGTTGCGTCTGTAAAACCATGAAACGAATAGTAAATAATAGATTAACATGGTATCTTGAAACCAATAATCTCATAACAAATATTCAATGTGGTTTCAGGAAAAATCGTAGTACCATTGATCATTTGGTACGTTTAGAATCCTTTGTTAAAAATGCTATAATAAATAAACAACATGCTGTATCGATATTCTTTGATCTCGAGAAAGCGTACGATACCACCTGGAAGCATGGCATTCTCAAGGATTTACATGATTTTGGTTTAAGGGGTCGTTTACCCTTTTTATATCACAGTTTTTAAAAGACAGGCAATTTCAAGTCCGAGTGGGTTCAACCCTGTCTGACCATTACAATCAGGATCAGGGTGTCCCACAAGGCAGTGTTTTGTCTGTCACCCTGTTTAGTATTAAGATCAACAGTTTATCCAAGGTTTTAACTGATTCAATCGATGGATCATTATTTGTGGATGATTTTAATATTTCTTGTCGTGGGAAAAATATGCATACTATTGAACGGCAACTGCAGTTGTGTTTAAACAAAATACATAAATGGTGTCTTGAAAACGGATTTAAATTTTCTAAATCCAAAACTAATTGTATTCATTTCTGCCGTAAATACAAACCCTCATAAAGACCCAGAACTATCTTTAAATGGCACTCCTATCAAAGTTGTTAAGGAGGCCAAGTTCTTGGGTCTAATTTTGACTCCCATCTAACATTTCTGCCACATATTAAATCCCTAAAACTAAATGCCTGAAGGCACTTGACTTGATGAAAGTCGTTTCAAATTCTAAGTGGGGAGGGGATCAAGCTACCCTCTTACATCTGTATCGATCATTGGTCCGTTCCAAACTTGATTATGGCTCCATCGTATATGGTGGAGCCTGCAAAAGCAACCTACAACTTTTAGATTCTGTCCACCACCAAGGCCTGAGACTTTGTCTTGGGTCCTTTCGAACTTCTCCTGTTGACAGTCTCTACGTCGAGGCAGATGAGCCATCTCTTGCACAACGCCGTATAAAATTATCTTTACAATATATTACTAAACTATTTTCTAATGAGTGTAACCCTGCATATAACTGTGTCTTTCATCCCCTCTATGAGGATTTATACAACAACAAACCTTCTCTTATTCCGCCTCTTGGGCACAGAATTAAGCCTTTCATTTCTGCTGCCGGCATTGAGCTGGAAAATATAGCTCCTTCCCGTCTTCTTTCTTCTCCTCCTTGGCAACTGGTGAGGCCTGAAGTTGACCTAACTCTGACAAAGTTTAAGAAATCTGTAACTAATGACTTACAATATAAACAAGAATATAATCAATTAAAAATAAATATAATACATATAAATCCTTATTTACAGATGGGTCCAAGGATGGTGGCGCGGTGGCTTGTGCCACGGTCATTGGATCCAGAACAATCTCTTCTCGTTTACCAGATAACAGCTCTATTTTTACAGCAGAAGCTAACGCCATATTAACAGCTCTTCAATATATTAATAAACACCGTAAATATGAGCAATACATCATCTTTTCCGATTCTCTTTCTTGTCTTCAGGCTATTAAAAATCTCTCTTGTAAACATCCACTTTTATTAGAAATTATTGAATTGTATAATGAGCTTGCTACTGGCCAATGCAACATCGTCTTTTGTTGCTTACCCAGCCACGTTGGCATTTCTGGGAACACAATGGCTGATATTGCTGCTAAGGCAGCACTCAACAAGTCTGTGACCCCACTTCTGATCCCATTCTCTGATTACAAAGCTGCTATAAGATCTTATATCCGCGATCTGATGCAAAAGAAGTGGGACACCCAAGTAGGTATTAATAAATTACATGCAATAAAACCCTACATTGGTTACACTTACTTGGGTTGTCAGTCCAGATTTGAAGAGGTCATTATGCGACGATGTCGCATTGGCCACACTAGATATACTCACCAATATTTACTGAAAGGCGAAGATCCTCCGTTTTGCATCCCTTGTGATGAAAGAATCACTGTCAAGCATGTCTTGCTTGACTGCATTGAATATTCCATCACAAGGGATAAGTATTTTAATGTCAAGACATTGAAGGATCTTTTTTATAATGTTAATTATCATTTAATAGTTGAATTTTTAAAAGAATTAGATTTGTGGACTGATCTGTAAATAGTTAAATATTATATTGATGGTAGTTTCTATTAGTAACTGAGATTGTTAGTGGCTGTACCCTTAAAGGGGGTTGACGTAGCGTAAAATTATTGTCCTCCTGAGAGGGTACGTAAGTCCCAAAACTTTCAAAGTCAATTTAAACTTGCCAGGATTTTTAAACGTAGTATTCTTGTTCTTTAATTTTGGCTAACATTTCTTCCAATCGCCAGCAGCTGAAGGGATGGTGTAAATCCAGCTAGGGTCCATGCAGGTAGCAAAAGTAATGTAAGTCCCCATGGTCCCTAGTATGGTGATCTACCTTCAGTTGTTGGCGATCTATTGCCTATTTTTATATTGTGCTGTCCCCTAAAGTTAAAATGTTTTAGATTTAATTGCTAGTTTTACATGTATATCTGTGATATTCTAGTTGTTTTACTGTCCTTCGTCGGCAGGTTTGTATAATATCTGTATATATATTCTATTTAAATGTTCTCGTCACGATATGGCTGAAATATTGCCGATGTGACGTTAAATATTAACTCACTCACTCACTCAATCTTGTTTGTACAAAAAGTAAGTAAATGTTCCATTGCCATTTTTTTAGTTTGACTGGGTGTGCGACCGGAAGTTGTACAAGTCCCACATACAGATGATGTTCATGCTGGGATCTCTTGTCTCCTGTGCAGTACTGGTTCCTCTCTCAGACATGTGAGCATAATCTCAGTTCATTATTGCACCACGCACAAATTGTGAAGTTAAAGGGAACGTATGTCATTGTCCATCAAATGCTTTTAAGATATCTCCAAACCTCTAATATCATAGGAAATATAAGTGAGTGTGGTGGGTTTTCAAACCGTTTTCAACATTATTTCAGTAATAGCATGGCGTGCCTGCTTAAAACGGGTTGAAAGCCCGCAGTGATGTTGGTGTCACTTTAGTGAAACGCACGAGCTCGGGTTCTGAAATATAAACATACACGGAGGCGGACCGTTGTTACACCCTATAGCTTTCTGGCCACGGAAGCAAGATAAGCAACTTTACACAGTAATATCGGAGCCTGACACAAATGGGCCGCCCACGCCCTAAGACGTATGAAGTCGGACCTTTTAATATAATTTGATCGAGGGGCGGTGCAGGAACCAAACGTACCGTAAGACCCCGTGGTCTTTTGCATGGTGATCTACCTTCAGTTGTTGACGATTTGTAGCTTGTTATATATGTTATATTGTCTAGGGTTCTCGATTTACATTGTGGGTTTACATCTATATCTGAGTTTTTCAGGTTGTTCTTCTACATGCGTTGATGTGTAATGAATGTAGAACTTGTTTTGGTCACTATATGACCAGAAATCATAACTCAATCAAAACAACGGTGGAGTAGCCTAGTGGTTGAAGCGTTCGCTCCTCACGCCGAAGACCCGGGTTCGATTCCTCACATGGGTACAATGTGCGAATCCCATTTCCGGTGTCCATCCCTCGTGATATTTTGCTGGAATACATGGGTATTGCTAAAAGCGGCGTAAAACTAAAGTCACTCAATTTAAATGATATTGTTATCAGAACAGCCATAATAACATTGAATGCAAGTCATTACTGCCAAGTTTATCATTCATTCCTGTTCAACTTAATTAAATTCTCAACATGTACCTGGACTTTAGACACAATATATAATTAGAGACTTGGGCACGTACGCTTATCTTGTCAAAAACTTCTTAAACTCTTCGCGACTTTAACATTTTAACAGGTCATGTTAATACTGTACTTGGCATTATATAACCCATGTGGACATAACCCACTGACCTCATTACACATCTAAACACCAACTGGTTTCAGATATTCTCCATTGTGTTAATTACAAAATGTTTTGTACGAATGAGTGAGTTTAGTTTTACGCTGCACTCAGCTATGATTCCAGCTATATGGCGGCGGTCTGTAAATAATAGATTCTGGCCGGACAATCCAGTGATGAACGTCATGATCATCGATCTACACAATTGGGATACGATGACATGTGTCAAACAAGTCTGAGAGCCTGACCACCCGACCCCGTTAGTCGCCTCTTACGACAAGCATGGGTTACAGAAGATCATATCTAATCGTGATCTTCACGGGAGTACGAGGTCGAATTAGTTGTCAATTTACAAACTGTCAATTGTCTTCAAATCCAGGAAGATCTACTACTTAGTTTTGATGGTTTGGCAATAGTGCTGTGAAAGCTAACAACGCATCTGTGATATTATTGCAGTTCTATTGTGATGTACTTGTAGTATAGGACAAATAGGATGCCTGATAGCAGGATATATATTGATTGCCCTGAACTTCCTATAGTATGTGCTGTACTTATAAATAACACGTAGGATGCCTGATACACCATGAACACCATGAACTTCTCATAATGCCGTCAATATTTTGATTTCCAGAATAGGAAGAAAAAAGATATTTATGTTGGGTGTAATTCTTCACTGCGTCGCATCACTTACAGTCTCATTCTCAACGGGATTTGCCATGCTGGCTTTTCTTACCTTCTTCAACGGCCTTGCATGCGCAGCCATATGGATGAGCGGTTTTGTTCTTGGTAATAGATGTTTTTTTATATCTCGTTTACATTTGCCTAGTGCATGTTATCCAGGGACCCTTTGGAAAACTACGACGCAGAGTATATCCCCAACAGCGCATTCTGGTATTCGAGACCTGCTAAAGGGGGTTGGGTGCGTGGAATCGAATCTTGTGGTTGTTGATAATTTGAACAGGGACTAAAAACATCACAACATTATCATGTTATTTCTTTAATGTTTACACACACTGATTTGCATGACATTAAATGTACGTTATATACACCCTTTAGAATGAGACGAATTTCAGTCGATTCATGGCGCCTAAATCAGCCTGACAAGGTAGCGTCCACATTCTTGAAACACGGGTTCGAATCCAGGATTCGCCCTGATTATGTTTCGAGGAAACCCTACATCTAAACAGGCATGTATCATGTTTGGGGTCTTTCTCAAGCTGACACGACGTAACTTGAAATGCAGACATAACTTAATAATAAGGGCATATTAGGATGTATCAGATCCACCATATTATGTAATGTGAATTATGAATTTAGGAATGATTACGTTTCAGGTGTGGAACTGGTTGGACCATGTAAGCGTCGATTGACAGGCATCATTGTTGAATTCTTCTGGTCCTCCGCGAACTTTTTCGTTGTTACCGCTTACTTCATCCGAGACTGGCAACATCTTCAGCTGGTTCTGTCAGCGCCAGCAATTCTCTTCCTAACATACTACTGGTAAGTGCAGAGTTTATTACATACGCTTAAGTTTAAAGTAAAGTCGGACAAAGAGACTGTATGAGAGAACATGAGTTTGAAACCGTGGTTTTAGCTATATTGTTTGAGTTAGAAGGCGCAGATGATTGACTAATAAGGACGGAATCTTGCACAGAAGGAGATGCACAACAGTGAAATCTTTTGTTTTAACAATATGTTACATAGTCATATCAACAAAAGACTAAAGTCAACAGAGCAAATCACAAACAGCAGGTTAACGTGTTCGCTCGTAACCTAAAGAGAATGTTCAGTTCAGTAATATATATCTCCCCATTGATGACAAAACTACAATCTGCGTAACATCCATTTCCAAGGTATGATATAACCTTCTTAAAATGCTCTGATCGGTTAAATGTGGCCCAATGTTCTGGACGTGCTGTTATTCACTGTGCAGAGTTACATCCATTATGCATGCAAGGAATATGTGACCGAAGTTTCGAATCCTATTTTGCCCTGGCTATGTTTCTGGGTTTACAAGCATTATACACGTGCAGGTGGATCGTTGCATCTATAAAATGGAATACTTCTAGTCCTGCATCTCTTCGAGAAATCCTCCCATGTCGAGATGAAAAACGTGGAATAATTAACATACTGTTCAACTGGACGCATTCCACATTCCCTCACTAATTAATAATGGTTTTATGCCACATACAGGTTGATACCAGAATCTCCCCGCTGGCTTATCAGCAAGAAGAGATATGTAATGGCGGATGCTGTGATACGCCATGCTGCAAAGGTCAACAAAGTAACATTGACCTCTGACCAGTTCATTGGAAATATTCTGGTCAGCGACAGATCAGAACCTTTGTGGAGCATACTAACAAGCCCCTCCCTGGTAACAAGAAGCATCATTATATTCCTAAATTGGTACGTTTTCCATCATCCGTCACTATTACTCACGTGAAACGACTTTTCTGGCATGTCATGTATGTATAATGGTATCTGTCATACAAATAGCTTAAAAATATTATGTTCCTGTCAATAGACCCTTTGATAATTTCTTAGGTTGTGAAATCATGGTTAATGTATTTGCTACCAACATATCTTCTACTGATGGAATATCTCGTGTTTTCTCAACTGAACCTTCATGCAGAGCTATTTGTTGGTTTCATTCATATAAACTGTTATCGCATGATATTACCTTATAAAACATTGTAAATGTATTGAACAATGCCAGATATGATTTTCAAGAATCTCTTACAGGGGGACAAAACTAGGGGCACTGTTGTCCCTTTATGGACTAAATGGGCAAATGCCATCATACCGCTCTTAATAACTATTCGCTCATCTAAATCAATCGGCGTTTTCCGGAAAAAATAATCATTAACTGATTATACTGAGGCTAATGTATGAGGATCTCTTCCTTATTATGGTCATATTAGTATTTTGCTGATGAACGTTATGACATTGTCAAATTGTATGTACACTATTTTGGATGTGGTCAACTGTCAAATTATGTTGGCATAACCCTTTACACAATTGTTTCAGTGAAGTGTTTGTGTATAGTTCGATAATACCTGGCAATATTCGTTCAGGTTTGTGTGCAGTCTCGGGTATTTTGGTCTTGGTCTCAATGTGGCAAGTCTAGGGGGCAGCGTCTACGTCAACAGCCTCATCGCAGGAACGACTGAATTCGTCTCCTTCATCGCCTGCCTTCTCCTCCTCGACCGCACTGGCAGAAAGTCCTTACATTGTGTGTGCATGATCCTTGGCGGTATCTGCTGTACAGCCACAATCCTTCCTGTCCTGTATGGAGCTGGGGGTATGGAGTTCACAGCTGGTTCTTGACCCTTAGCTTATGACCCTTTGCTTAGGCAACATGAGCAAGAGATTACCGAGTTGACAAAGGCTACGTTGCATCTTCTTGCACAGCCACAATCATTCCTGTCCTGTATGGAGCCGGGGGTAAGGAGTTCACAGCTGGCTCTAGATCCTTAGCTTATGAATGGCAACATGAACAAGAGGTTACTGCTCTGTAAGGAGTTTACTTACTTTGCTTCTTTTGCCACCGCTACAATCTTTCCGTCCTGTATGGAGCTGGGGGTAAGGCGTAATGGGAGGAGGAAAATGTTGATTGTTTTGCGCTTTGGCATCTGTTGATATTTAAGATCAACGACCGTAAATGTTGAAATTAATGCAAGAGTGAATTAAATGCGACAACTTTGCAATCGTGATCCAAAAATGACTGTTAAGATTATGGCAATATAGAAACAAACAGTTCTCTTGTATGTCAGTGGCAATATGTTATTCAATCTCTAGAAGATTCATGTGGATTTCCCGTGAGTTGCCTTATCTGTGGTCATTTCTTCTACTCACTCGTTGCAAACTATAATCATCAGTCATCTGAATTATAATTTGTCAAGAGAAAACAACCTTACCTATCAGGCCAAATTCCCATTGCTTCTGACACGTATTTCAATTGATTTGTTTATAAGGGGGAACTGTGTTTCAAAATAGGAACAATACATGCCGGAATTGTTGGTTTTAGCTTTGTATTATGGCCGTGAGTTTTCTTGGGAAATATTACGTTTATTAAGTTTTAGGTAATGTCGCTTTGGCGATGTTGGTAACAAATTTGAACTGATTGATGTGCACATCTAAGAGCACATGTGTCACAAATGCATACAGGTCTATAAATAGGTCTATAATTACGATATTGGACTTATGGCCTGTGTAAACATGAAACATGAAAAAAGATGGTGCGGGATTTATTCATCCGAGAAATGTCATGATGGGAGTGTTTCGAAAGGCTGTTTGTACCTGTATCTCGTTGTTCAAAAAAGTTTTTACTGGTCTTAAACCGATGATGCTTGTATTTTAGTGATTCCCCTTACCTAGTTCTGTATGGCCTGCTTTCCGATGTTGTTTAAAATCACTGTCAACAATATTCGAGTTATATTAAGGCGTCTGTTAGCAGAAAATTCAGTGATGATTTTGGAAAGTCTTTGTCTGTGTATGTTGACACAGCTCTTTTCTCTAGTTCGACTGGCATGAACAGTGATTTTGAGTTTTGACGAAACAAGAAAGAAATGTATTTTACGTTTTTCTGGCAGATCTCAACTGGCTGACCATACTGCTTGCACTTCTGGGACGGGGTTTCGTATCTGCAAGCTTTGCAATAGTCATACTTTACACTTCTGAGCTGTTTCCAACGGTCCTCAGGAACTCAGTAATGGCGTCCGCAAGTATATGTTCCAGAATTGGAGGAGTCATATCCCCTTATATCGCCAACCTGGTAATTTAACTTTGGTTTCTATTTTATTACAACTAAAAGATGCCAAACTCTTATAGTTATTTCTCAGAGACATCTATCCCGAGTATTTTCTTCGTTTGAAAATGTATTTGAAGTTTTGTCAATCTGTTCACGTTACTTGGGCGTGGAAATGAATAGTGGACCATATACACACATTTTGGGTATAGATGATGGAATTATTTCATGGATCAGAGAGAATGTTCTCATTTGGCAGACGCTACTACTGTTGACTACAGTGTTACCCTGATCTGATGGGACGTTGGAATTGCCCTTACCCACATCGTTGTTAGTTGCTCCTTCCCTGAGCCTGAGTTTACTGTTGTGCAGTCACCCAACAGACAAAATGCATGGAAACCTTGCACTTATGTAATACAGAACGTCAGAGCCAAATAACACCCAGTTGTCACCACCTCAGAATTTCCGTCTAGTGCAAAGGGCAAAAAAGCTGCGAATATTACATGAATGGATCACTGAGAATAAGTGATGGCACCAGGTGTTCCCACAGGGTCCACAACACACACATTTGGCCCAAAATGGAAGCACCCTGTGCCCAACGCCTCACAGCTGTACTCCTGCCACGCGGCGAAGGCCTGGTAACCAACCAGACAATCCAGCGACATATGAACTTGAAAATCCAGACAGATAATTTCTAAGTACGACTTCAGTAGCACAGAGACTCCTAATAGAATCTTTTATAAACAGTGTTTATATTGCATGTACTGACGTGGAAGAGGCACTTTGGCAACAGTGCATGATATTAAGCTCGACTCTGCTGAGATTTGGCAACTGTAACAATGGTGATATACTTGACAACCGAAGTATGTACCCGTTGTGTAATTGTCGAAATATCATTACTTTTACGTTGAGTATAGTTGGAAATAAAATGAATGATACTATTGGTGGAAGCCCTGGTGCTAATGCAGCATAGATGTTTGTTAAGCACTGCAGCATTGATTCAAACTACAAATTCGTTCTTCCCGAGAACGATTTAACTCCAGTAAATCTTAACGTACACAATACACAGACATGAGCATTATTTTATCACCACCTGAATCCAAGGGCAACGTGTACACTGTGGTTGAAACAGGCAATCATGAATAGTGCAGCATAATGGAATGCACATGAAAAACTATGAGTATCATTGTCACGTGCTGCGAAGGTGCCAAGCAAATTGTTATATCATATTTGTAGTATGAGCACAGCATTTTTCTGAACTGATATGAAAGATGACAGTAATAAAAAGTAACGGTTCTTGACAAAGCAAGACGTAGACGTAGACACATTGTCAAGTGCTTGGTATACATCACGCAAGGATGTCTTGTCGAAACATCGATGCTACTTTGACCACATTAACCACAAGGTTTATAGTCGACTTGTCAGGAAGCATGTAGTCACCAATCAGGTAAAGGATCGTCCATGACCTGGGAGACCACTGACCGTGATGACCGAGTTCTAAGTCCACTGACAAGTTGCAAGCCTGTGACCCATGCCTAAAGAATGCGCCGACCATATAGAGTGGGAGTCCGACCATAAGAAAGGGACTTCGGGCTGCTGGTCTTCGGCACAGGCGGGAAAGTCTGGCTTCAAGAAAACTGAAAGTTTAGGACATGGCAAAGGATGCATTGGTCTCTATCTTCAGCACGTTACCGACGTATTGAGACGTCATAGGGAGGCATATTAGCAAAAGGTGATCCATGCAGTCCTTTGGTGGTGGCTCAGTGGTGCAAGAACTTGGTACCAAATTGCAATTTCAGCATATGTTTTGTTTTGTTTTGATTTGTTTAAAATATGTTACAGTTTCCAATAAGAGTTAAATCTGGAGCTTTGTAATACGCTGGATTTGGTTTGCAATTCATATACAACATGATATGTGTGGTGCTTCAAACTGCGCATGTGTACTGCTAATAAACAAAGGCATTTCCATTCCATCAAAGGCACTCGTGTTACCTGGCGACTTGGGTCGAGCAGTTCCACTGATTATATTCGGGCTATCGATGGTTGGGGCTGGTTCGTTGGCATTACTTCTACCGGAGACCCTAAACAGAAACCTCCCAGAGTCCATTGATGACGCCAAGAAGATGAGGAGGTAGCTCTCATACACTTTGAAGTTTTGGTTTCTGGCCTACCACAGTACACTGCTTTGCTCAATGATCCACAGCAGTACACAAAACATGTTTCTAGCGTACTTTCTAGAATGTAAATCCAACTAGGGCCCATGTAGGTAGCAAAGGTACTGTAAGTCCCCATGGTCCCTAGTATGGTGATCTACCTTCTGTTTTTGGCGATCTATTGTATATTGTATTGTCCAAATTGTGCTATTAGTTTTAACTTTCCACACTAGTTTTAATTCTAATTGTGATATTCTAGTCGTTTTACTGTCCTTTGATGACAGGTTTTTATAATATATACAATTTCCATCTCAATGTCAAATATGTTCTCGTCAAGATATGGCTGAAATATTGCCGATGAGACGTTAAATATTAACTCACTCACTCACTGTATTACTTACAAGTCATCCGAACGCGTGTCAAATTTGACACTCATAATGACTGACTGAGTTTGGTTTTACGTCAGCATCATCACGGCGGGGACACCAAAAATGGGCTTCACACATTTGTACCCATGTGGGGATTCGAACGTGACAAGCCAACGCTTTAACCACTTGGCTATACTCATCATAATATTACACACAAACTTTCTTTCAGGATCAATCCCAAGTTAGATGAATCCCAGGATAATGGATACGACGAGGAAGTGATCCACTGAACGTCGAACTAACTGGAGGAAGGCATCTTCTTGGACCACATTTAGGTTGACATTTGACGATTGATTCCTATTTTACCTATGTCGTACACCGTCCGCTAGTAAAATGTCAAAAGTGTCGGCATGTTGAAACCAAACTGGACGCCAATTCGCTGTAAGTTCTAAAAGCCACCAGAAGCCGTTTCGAATCAACATTACTCACTTATTCTGTTAATTAATATGCCTCCCATACTGCCCATAATTCGTGTATACGGCCGCCTTTTCTTTAAAATAATTATACTTCATTCCTATTGTACTTTTTTCTAAGCCATGCAAATAAAATTAACTTTTGTTTGCTCTGGGATTCTATATGGAGACTAGCAACTTTGTTCAGCTACATCTGCAACCCATGTATTTGTTCCAGTTGAAATGCTGCGCTCACTAAATTTTGTAAATAAACAGCTTGCAACAAAACATACCTTGTGCCTGACAATTTTCTGTTTTATTTAAACAGTCAGAAGTACATGCATTTTACAAGACATTATCGGAGATCATTACTCTTCTCAAGATAATCGCTCGTCACTATATGGCGGACATATTGCCAAGGTGACGGCAAATTTTAACTCACTCACGCACTCACTCACTCACTAACATATTTATTGTGTGGAAAATGGCATATAAAAGAAGGTGGCAATAATAATACCCGCTTGTTTTTGTTATTAAGATTCAAGAATAATAGGCATGTGACGTAAAATGTTAACTCACTCACTCAAGGAAATCTAAGTCATAACATATTTATTGTGTGGAAAATGGCATATAAAAGAAATAGGCAATTATAATACGCATCGCTGTGACTGAACTTTTCGAATGTCGTAACGTTTTGGTTTTTTCATTAAGATTCGGGAATAATAGGCATGTTATTCTTTCATTCGCAGACAGTATTTAAACGCCCTTGTGAAAATGCCGTTTCTCAGTATTTCTTTGTAAACTTGTCAAAGTAATTTTGTCCCATGTATGTTACATACTACATTGCAATTTTGATGTCATGTTCATTGATAGGACATAGGTTTAGTTTCCGATATATAACGTGAGTATTGACACGAAAATACTAATGAGTGCGTCATTTTTGGCTCAAGTTACTGAGGACGGTTACCATATACCATGGCCACCTGTTTCATACAGAAGGTAAGTGAAGTATTAGTCACCATAATCCATCCATCAACTCAGTGACAGTTGACAGTTTGCACAAAAAAGTATTAATATAATCATTTTAAAAATTGCTATCCGTGTTTTTCGACAGTAATCTCATTTCCCTCATCTCTGACTGTCACGCTTTAAGGAAGACGCATGTAACGTACACGGTTGATGTAGCAATAGACGACGCTAGAGTATGCTGCAGGCCAGAGGACATTGCAAGCACATTTGTGCAGTATTACTGTATTTGCTTTGTTAAGTGGTGAAACCTGTACACAAAGATTGCAATCAATTCACATGGGCAAACCCAATACAGGCAGCTGATCTTGTGCACCGGTGAACTAGGGTTATATCTGACCCAAGACAAGTTACATGTCGCAGACTGACACATTATCCTGACTATTTCCGTATTTCGTGGTTACACCACCCTTGAGCTAATAATACATGACAAGTTACTCAAATATTTCCTCCAGCAAATCCGTTTGCTGTTAATCATGATTATCTTCAGTTGACCAATACTTAATATGTTCGAATATATCAGAAATATCTGATATAAGAAATAAACTGACGCACTTATTGGTATTTTCTTGTCAATACTCGTCTCGCAACCCGTGCAGATCCGGGTTCGACTTGGTCTTCAGCAACCCATGCTTGTCGTAAGAGACGACGAACGGGATCGGTTGCCACGTCATCAAATGTTAATTAGGTAGATTGATGTTCATGTTGTTGATCACTGGGTTGTCTGGTCCAGACTGGAATATTTACAGACCACCGCCATATAGCCTGAATATTGCTAAGTGCGGCGTTTAACAACAAACAAACCAAGCCATTCCATTCCGCGCACTTTCACCAGATTCAGCTCTTGGAAACGATACCACTGTTGAAGCTATATGTCCCTTTGCATCTAATCTCTGAGACAACTGTTCCATATTTGAAAGTATTTGAGGGCAAACTGACGTCAACAACAGCAAGCCAAGGGTAGCTCTAATGCACTGGCAGAAAAAAGAACATACTTATTATATTCACACTGAAGTATTTCTCTATAATTCAGGATGATCGTTTCATTGAATCTATTGTGTCATTTTTGACAAGTTTTTCAAAAAGACATTTCTTAATAGAGATTTTGACAGATATCCATGTTAAGTTACAAAATACTGACATACATAATATTGCCAATGTAAAATACACTTGACAATACTCAAGAACAATCAGTCAAAATAAATTAAGACAGACTGGATTGTAGTTTCGTTTTTTAATGCTGAACTTATTTTATGCTGCATGTTTGGACATTCGTGTAAAGAGATGAATGTGGTAAATGAAACAGCAGGGCTGGATTTCTGTAACTTGATTTAACTACCGCAAAAGAATGGTGCCATAATCAGACGTCACTCTGGATCCAAACATAGATGCTATCACTAGGCTAAATATACGCATAGGTGTTTCGTATTTTTTAAAATCTATTAATTACCTATTGTGTTCAAACAATCGTCAAAATGTGTAACAAAAGTGTTGATAACATGATTTTACACAATTGCACAAGTGAAACATCGTCTGTACCTGAAAAAATGTTGATTTTGATGAGATTTCTTACAAGAATTAAAAAGGCATCGCCACAATGCAACAGAAATCACCTTCCAGTTGAAATTGTGCAGCAAGAGTATGCTCTGTCTGGCTTTAATAATCCAGATTGCTTTCGGAAATCGGCGTTCTTTTTGAAGGAATTTCAAGGTCAAATCACTACGCCACGGCTTGACGTTGCGACACGGAACGTCGCCATTGAAAGAATGTACGCTGTTGTTAGTCAAAGCACGATTTCACTGCTTGCAGCTCGTTACAACCAAACAGGTATAACAAATGACCGTCCCCGTACAAGCAGACCTCCAGTCACCACTGCAGCCCAAGATCGGTACATCCGGGTACTACTTTTGCGTGATCGTACTGTCACGGGTGAGAGCACAGCAGTCAGGGTGCCTGGACTTCGGAGGATATCCGGTCAAACTGTACGGAACAGGTTGACAGAGATTGGACTGAAAGCTAGGAGACCCGACGTCGACGACCATTCTAGGTGTTCACCATCGCTCTCAACGTCTCCGTCATCTAATATTATCCACTTGGTTGTATAGACATTACCTTCTTCTAAACTGAGGTAAACATTTATGTACTAAAGTCTATTTGTGGACGAGTTATACATGTTTGAAAATACAACATTTTCACAACAGATTTCTGGGTTATGCGTTTATTGTTTTTAATAGTATACATACAGTTTCTGTAACATGTAATAGTGAGCACATATTATAGAGTTACCCACTGTTTGAAGATGGCTAGCAAATAAAAACATGACAGAATACACATACCAATGGGTTTAGTAATACAACTAACAGGCATTCAGAATCTTCAAAGGTCAATGTTTCGTGGGCATGTATGCCTCAGGAATGGTCTCTTCCTTTACAGACTGACTTACGATTAACTACTGCGTTAGTTTCAACTTGGAATCAACACGTTACGATCTACATATTACTATTTCAGCTCTTACGTGATATGTATCGCACCTGTATTTAAGCTAAATAGTAAAATGTAACACATTTACAATGTGTGGAATAAATATTCCTCTACGTAACTTTCCATAAACAATTTTCCAATAAAACGATAATTTGCACAGCTTGCTTTACGCAGCTTCACCGACGGAGTCATGGTGATTAGCAAAACCATAGGCCTTGTTGTAGTCTGAGTAACCATGTTTAGACCTATAACGACACACGTACATTTATAGTTTTTGCAGTGGCCTATTTTATATGTCGTATGTCCTATTGTGTATGTGTCGTGTGCCATAAGAATGTAGTTAATGCCAACTTGATAGTGCACTATAGTTTATCAATGGTAGGTTAAACTGACAAATATATGGTTTTGCTTTGAAATATCTGCTATCTGTCACATGATGTATGTTATCTGTCACTAGCTGCGGTGTTTGGGAGTTTACAGTTATCTAGTAGTTTGCAATTCAACAACAGCATGCATTCAATTACATTCATGTGAAACTACTGTATCCGTGTCACTCATTATTTGAAATATACAAGTAAAAATACAAACACACAATCACAAACGGGAGGTATGTGAATATTGCTGTCACATTAAATGTGTTGAAACTAAAATCCGACAAACTTGAGCGGTTCCAGTCAATCAATAAATGTAAATTTAACAATGGACTACCTATTGCATACATGATTTTAAACTGTTTCAGCTTCGATGATATTTCGGTCGAAAACGTCTGGTTGTTATTAGTTAATGTACGCTTTCTTATAGTATAAAGCTGTACGTCATTAAGCAGATTACAAGATGCACATTTTACTACATCTCATTTCTAAATGTTACCTTGCTGAAAGTGATTAGAATGTGAGTGGGAACATAAAGCAATTTGGTTTCTAAAATACATAAAGTTACAGTATCAAACATAAAACTAAAACACTAACTATTATACTAACTGTTATAACGAATTACTATCTTCTGACATGTCACCAGTGGAAGCACCATGAATCCACAAAACATGATTCAATGGAATTGCAGAGAACTTAAGAATAATTATATCGAATTACAGTTATTGATGCAAGACTTCAAACCATCCGCGTTTTGTCTCCAAGAAACCTACCTTAAAAGGTATGATTAATTTGACATCCGTCGGTACAGTTCCTACCACTCCTTTTCTTCTCCCGGTGTAAAAGCTAAAGGAGGCACTTCTATCCTGGTGAGGCAGGGCATCCTCCATAGCCTTGTTCCACTTAACACCAACCTACAAACTGTTGCTGTCCGCATGACTCTGAACATAGGGTTTACAATATGTTCACTCTATATTCCTCCCACCTCAACTGTCCACCTATCAGATCTTCAGAACTTGTATGATCAACTCCTAAAGCCCTGCATAATCATGGGCGACCGGAACGGCCATAACCCTCTATGGGGGAGTACTGATACAAATAATAAGGGAAAGGTCCTTAAAGACTTTCTCTCCAATAATGATCTATGCATCTTCAACGAGAAGGATACTACATGATGATCAGACATTAGTGTGTCTTGGACAGATAGACCGGACACAAAGTCATCGCGAGCAGACCGTGTCAGAACCCAGTCTAACGTATGTCCAGAACGATGTGTAGGTCCAGATACATGCTGGAGAAAATCGTGAGATTCAAGAAGTTTGACACACTTCTTGACTGCAGCATCTTCTGTATGCTCAAAGTGTACATTGAAATCTCCAAGCAGCAAAACATG